TACTACCAACACAGATGAACTTTCATGAAAATCTCAATCTAGAGTTCCCTGACCCCATATACCATCACCAGTTCATGTTCTTGAAGGGTAGTTCCTTAAATTGTTTAAAAGCACTTAATCTCAAAGGAGTGTCCTGGTCAAGATTTCTTGTGTTGAGTATATTCATTAATACTCACGTTCCCTGGACTCTCTTCTGCAGTTCCGCCACTAGTCTGGGGTCTATTTCACAGGCAATCACCTATTGACAATTAAGAACAGTCAGTAGTCAAGCACAAATGTGTCTATCTAACCAACAGTTACTAATATCATTACAGCTTACCAACAACATACTACTCCTCATACATGTTGGTATAAAGTGGCAGTGTGCTACAAGGCTTTATTGGCCAAAAAAATATGAAGACTACACATACAAATACACAAGGTGAATTCTTACCATTCAATACTTGTATAACTTTTGAGCCTAAGGCCTACTTGGCCACAAAATTAATCATTTACAATATTTTAATATTGTAAATGATTAAAACTATTAAAACTATTCCTGGTACAATGTAGGTGTAAGATATGATAAAAACCACACAGACAAAACGCATACAAGATAGATCACCTCAAAAACATAGCATTTAGATTTACTGCACTCTAGTGTTCCTGTGAAATGCAATGACAGACAAACTGTTAGAAAATACCATAGGATAACTCACCTTTTTCACCCTGTCTATCATCTTCATAGTGAGGTTTCCAGTTCCAGGACCAATCTCCAGCACCGTGTCTGTGGGCCGTAGGGCTGCCTGAGAACAGGATGAAACAAGCACTGTCATTGGATACCAGTGAAACAAATGTCAAGTTACAATTGAGATCATTAGTTTGTTTAATAGAACATATAACATTATGAGAACTATATAGATGATTGGTATTCATAGGCATCCCTCCAGATATCCCTTTATCAATGGTTACATACCAAGGTAACTTTTAATAACTCAATTTTCATAATAGTCATGATCACAATCAACTTACAATAATTGAAATTTTTGTGACTCTGATCAGGATTCATGATCATAGCTCTGAGGCCAATATTTTGTAGCATAATCGATGTTGCAAACAAGACGCAATAAGATGATGACAATGAAGAAAATATAACACAAAGAAGTCAAATTCTCAAAAGTAACGTTAACTCAAAACGAAACAGACCTTTTCCACCATGCTGTCCACGACTAGAGGATTCTTCAGAATGTGCTGGCCGAACTGCTTGTTGAACCCAATGCCTACAAGGTAACACACGTAATGTACGCAATGCATTCACGACAATCCATTTGAAGAATTTGAATTATCACTGTAAAAAAATATCTATTTCCGCAGTTGAGTGCAAGTAGTGCATGTGGATTGCCCCCCTCCCCACTCTAGAAAAGCATCCACAGATTATCGAGCTAAAACGGAAGAAAATAGCAGTCTACCTTGCTTCTGCACTTCCTGGTGGGTACGGGACGTCTTTGAGCTCTTGACTTTCGGCATGTTGAATTAAAAATGCTCTATTTTTTACTATATTTTTACCAGTTCAAGTCGAGACACGTTCGTCTGCTAACACCTCGACCTTTCACCTTTGTCGTTTTGCGGCAGTGACGTAAAATAGAACAGGACGTGGATAGACAGCGCCCTCTTGTGGGAACTGAAGAGACTGCAACTTCACAATGGCGAAACATCACTTTTTCCCTGGATGACACCCTGGAAGTAATGTCAATGCATAAAGAGAAGACGTTAAGATCAAAACGAAAAAAAATTCTAACATGAATTTAGCAAGTGCAATACATGGCAAAAACGTCCGGATTACAAAAACGTAACGTTAACGTTATCAGGCACACGATTTCTAATCTCCAAGCAGCTCTTAGTGGTGGGGGTAAGACAGTATGAAATTGGCCAGTCTGTAACCATTTCCCCACAATGGTTACAGACTGGCCAATTTGATACTGTCTTACCCCCACCAAAAGATCTGCTTGGAGATTACACGATTTCCAACTCATAGTTGTTACCATATGCATTTCAGCGAAATGACTTAACCAAACTAGTCTGAAGGAAAGTACTAGTATATCGACATAGTTTAGGGCATGACGCAAAGAGAGGTGCACGTGGTTTGTCTGAATGCCCGTTTTAAATTTTGGGCACTGAGGGAAAATGACAAGACTGTGAGGTGTGCTGCGCGTATAACATATTTAGGTCATAGTTACAATGTAAAACGAGATGGCCTCAAGGCAGGCGTTCTGTATGCATGGATACACCGTTGTTCCTGTCAATAGAACGTCCGAAGTTAACCTCTACCAGGCTTCGGTAGCGGCTGGAAAGAGTGAATACTATGCCAAGGAAGTTGGTCCTCTTAAACCCAGAGTACAGTTTGTTCTGGAGCGGCTAACTCCTTCAGCGCACCAACCCCTTTGGCTGGTTATTCTATCTATTTTGTCAATTCAATTTCTTCTCTTTCCAACCGATTCTGAAGCCTGGTAGAGGCTAGAGGAAGTGAGAACTTGAAAAATACAACGCAGTTAGCTGTCGGGCGCTAAGCTGAGTGGTTGGGCTCTGTGGCGAAAGAAGATAGACCTCCAAGAATTTCATAAGACTTACTAAGTTGAACGGAACGGAAGAGACTATGGATAGTGGTGCCCAGAACAAGGTGTGTTCTTTGGGTAATGTGGACAGTTCATTCATTTCAGAAGTACTTAAAACTATATTGTGTACATGTATAGAAAATCAGTAGATTAGTTCATTTAAAACAATAGGCACAGATTACATTTGTACATGAAAATATCTCACACAGAGGAAGTGGCCCGGACGTGGTGTTTCCATGAAACTGGCTGTGGTTGTTGCTGTGTTGGTGGTGGTTGTGTCGGTTATCCTTTTCTAACTTCTAACTAAAATGAGCATTTTCTTCTATAACATTGAAGCTGCTTTTTAGGAGAAAGTTAACTTTCTAAGACAAAGGTAGGATGAAGTACGCATTTGAATAAACTGGAAATTCTACTTTATATGAAGATTCAGCATTATGTACCTAGACACCGTTGTATACTTGAAGGTATATGTTGGTGTGTAATCATGTACGCTTATAGTAATAAAGGACACGGTGATCTTATGGAACACGTGTATGGAAGATTGTGATACAACAGTTGACCTTTATGTCGGATAAACTTTTGTAACTTTCCCATTCTTGAAAGTTAAAGCTAATGCGAAAAAAAATGTTCAGACATTCGTGTTAGAAGTAACTTTTTATCAGATCTGTTAGACCATCAATAGTACATTATTCAACGATGACAGAGTTAGCAATTATAATTATACATATGATATTTCATTCTACTCCCCTCTATTCTCCATATGAATCTATACGGTGACCTCACAGTCGATAGGGTTGTCCTCTACAATACAGTCAGGCATGTTCGGTTTGACGTTATCATAATTACTTGAGGTGGACGCCGCCGTCCACGGGCAGTGACGCGCCGGTAATGAACGCCGCCTTCTCCGAGCAGAGGAACGCCGCCACACCGCCGACTTCACGGGGAGAAGCCCACCGTCTCATACCGCAAGAACCGATGAAAGCGTCGACTTGCGCCGCCCCCAACTCCTCCACGACTGGGTCCCAGGCCTCGGTCTTGGTGAAGCCCGGGATGACGACGTTACAGGTGATCCGCCTGGGCGCCAGCTGCTTGGCGTAGTGCCTGACCAGGTACTCCACACTTGCCTTAGCCGTTCCCGGGGTGATGTAGGCGAGGTTCGGCCCGCGGGAGGTGTTACACCCGGGGGAAGACACGGCGACGATGTACCCTCGCCCGTCCTCCATACAGGTGACCGCCCTCTCCACCAGCCTGATGAAACATTTCGGGTACATGCCCTGGAAGAACTCGTACGCCTCCCAGCCTTGGAACCAGCTGCCACTGGCGTCTGGTTTGGTGTGGGAACGGTTTTGCCAGTACGCTCCGGCGTTGTGGACCAGGGCCGTCAGCTTACCACCGAAGTTCTCCTGGATACAGGAGAAGTAAGCGTCCACCGTGGCTTCGTCTCCCGCCTCACCTGACACCAGGAACACGCGTACATTGTACGTCCCCTCCAGGTGTGCTTTGGCGTCTTGAGCGCGGTCTTGGTTTTGCCGGTACCCCAGAATAAGATCGTAACCGGCGGTGGCGAGCTCCTCGGCTATACCGTAGCCGATTCCTCGGGTCCCGCCAGTGACAAGAGCGGTCTTGCTCTGCGACATGTTAAAAATCTAGAAAGCTTGCGGTGCAATTCATTTTAAGAGGATTGTAGAATTGATGACCTTTTGGAATTTGTACTGTCCCTCCTGGTAAAAAAATAGGCCAGGCAAATTAAAGGGTAATGATTAAAAAGCAACACACGATTCTACGTATACGTATCGAGAGTCTATTATTTAGGTCGATATGTGCAACTACTAGTATATATAGATTTAGACAACGCAAATTTAGATGTTAAATCCAAATCATGTGGATATCCAATCCACGTGATTTGGGAGTAGCTCTACATAAGTGACTTTATGAGCTCGTCTTACACTTCGATTTTATTTCTAAATTTTGAAATAAACAGAAATATAAGGAGTCTAAATTCATCCCAGCGGTTCTCCGTTTGTGACGTAGTGTTGCCCCATTACTTCCAACTCTCTGGAGTTAAACACAACAGAAAACGAACTACAAAATGTACTCACCAGGCAGAGGTTTGGGCTCATTTTGGCGTCTTTTGGGGCCTTTTTAAATCGGGCTTTCTTTTTGCACTGATATCTTTTTTACTCCAACCCAAAGGGGTAGAAAAGATACCACTGCACTGAAAAGAAAGCCCGATAAAAATAGCCTACATTTAAAAAGACGCAAGAAATAAGCCAAAACCCAAACCTCTGCATTTATACAAAATATGACGCAATAAATAAGTCTAGAGAATCGGTTTGTAACTGTCTGATCGCAGACCGAGACGTTTTAAGCCTCGTGAACCCGCATGACGAGAGACTCTTTGTGACTCTGACTGCCGCTAGTCATGTGGAAAGTGACAAATATAAAACGACAACAGAAACAGGAACCTGAGTGTGCAGGTGTTTAAGGTCATGGCCTCAAGACGAGAACATGCCTGTACTTGAATACACCACGGAAGTTCCGGTCAATTAGATCACCTTACCTTTTCACTGTGACGACGGGGAAACTTAGTACAGCTACGCAGTTCATTCTGAGACACTGAGTGGGTAAGGACAACCGCTCCACGGATCGTAAGACTTTATCTGCCACTTTTGTTGTCGAACGAGAGGGACGATGGCCACTGGTGTTCAGAACAAGGTTTGTGTGATATGTAATATTATACAGTATATAGATTCTTGTATTTTAGTAGTAGCTAGCGTGTTGTTGAGCGCTGGCGCTGTTTTTTCGCTTTACCTTTACTGTTAAGCAACCCTTCATACCACAAGGAAGTATTCGTTAGAGTTGCACTTCCTTGAGGCGTAAAAGCTATATTTAAGATTAGATGCTGACTGCATTGTAGTGAGTTCACCCGTGTTTTCGGCAATCAGTTTCAACGCATCGGTAAAGGGGTGTATATAACAATTTAATAGTATTTCTAGTGCTTTTAACGTAGCTAGTTCGAACGAAAGATACACATTTACCTGCTCGGTAGGTGTGGTGGTGGGGTTTTTGTAATATTGACTTGTGCTTTTTTATGTTGCGACAACACACAGCTTTTAGTAAACAAACATTTTTCTTCTAGGTTGCTGCAAGGCAACTTCCAGGACTTCGCATGCCCTTGACGACAGTGATGCTGTTTACTGGAGTTCTGCTGATCCTGCTCCAACCGACGGCGTCACAGCCCGAGGTACGTATTTTAGTGCACGTCTTCTAGTGTACTCCCTCTGAGATATACAGTTTCTTGACTTTTAGTAAGACATCTATAGCTTCGTTTTGAGATCATTTTTTCTGGTTATTTCAGCAATCCCTTTTGGCCAGGCTGACAGACAAGGAAGCCAGTTCAAACAGCATTGAAGACACTACACGTTAGTATATTTTACGTTTAAATGCTCTGTATCATGTAGTGTTGAGTATTGTGAAACATCCAATAACTGAGTTTCCGATTCTTGGTGTTTTATGGTCCCTAAAACACCAAGAATCGTAAAACTCAGTTCTTCTTTTCTAGATATTTTCAGATCGATGCGTTTGTCACTGCTGTTATCTTCTTATCTGTCTACATTTACAAAATCTCATGTGGGCAGGAAAATGTATATCTTATGGGAATGCAGGGAGTTGTGTGATAATGAAATGTAACATAATTAAATATAAGATTTATGTTATAGATTCAATGTATACCTTTGTTTTGGAGCAGATGATTGGATAGAATACATCCTGTTGTGTACATGTTATACCATACTCATAACTCTTTACAAGGTCATTTTCTGTGTTGAACGTAGTCTTGATTTTGTGTATGTGACTAAGTAAGCCGTCTTACTGCAGGTGAAGCTCTGGTGGATGGAGGACATGCCCGTGTGGCCCGTGCCGCCCTGAGATGCCTAAGAGGCAGATGCATGATGTGCGTAAGATTGGTTTGCGAGAGGTACTGCGGGGTGCGTCGTCGTCCCGTCTGTTGCAAGTACAGATGGAATATTACACTGTGCTAAATACAACGAGTGTGTCACTCCCGTGTTGTGTTGTAATAGTCTGCGTACGTTGTATTTGTTTCTTTCACATAACCGGTAAACCGTCTTTACGCGTATCACACTAGTTTTGTACATGTACAATGTAGGTACAAAATTGTGCACCTTGCTTAGCTTTTACACTACTTAATACACAGCAATACTACTGCTTGTGATTTTTTATTAGCTTGTGAAAAAATGTGTTTAATGTTGGCAGCCAATTTCTGTAATATCACTTCATCTAATCAGCTTTCTGGTTGTGATCTGTTGTGATATATTCATGTCATAATAAAGCATTCTACACACGAACAATTTCATTTCACGTCACTAATATGAGTAACAGTCTTTATTTATTGCCAATAAGTATACGAAAGTGTATGGACTGAGTCAACCTTAGCAATAGGTCAGTTCAAACATAACTTCTGCGAGGGAAACAGAATGTATTGCAAACTGTTAAAAATATCCGATGGCCCAATGCAGAATGTTCAGTACTGTAAATTAGACAGCGACCGTGAGTGAACAAACCAAAAATAATATTTTGCAAATATTCGAATAGTGTAATTAAGATTATCATAATTTTTACCTCTTGATGAAATTGCCGAACTTGAACTGAACAAGCCCTGAAATAATTGAGAGTATTGTATATATATATATGTGTGTGTGTGTGTGTGTTTGTATATATGTATGTATGTATGTATGTATGTATGTATGAATATATATATATATATAGAAGATCTATAGTTCGTATACGGGTGTACTGTCACAGTGATGGGACGCTGTGCTGCATATTTGAGGTAAGGTGCCAGTTTTGGCTCAAATCCAATGGCCAATCCAATATCTACACACACTGCCCTCTGGCTATTCAGGACGACAGCACTGAGAAGGTTTCGGTCAACCGCACACAGATATCGCATTCCAGCTAAGGCCTACCAGGTTTACAAGAGCCGTTGGACCGTCCCACGTTCAAGACAACAACAAGGAAGTTTTAGAAGTGAAAAATACTGCGATCGCGCAGTTAGTTTTCAGACGCCGAGTGAGTAGGAGCGGTTTCTGAGAGCTGAGAAAAAATCGCCGGGCTGAATCTGTGGTTCAGTGAGAGACATGATGGACTCCAAAGTCCCCCCGAAGAAGGTGAGTCTGTAGATTACTACTATAGTTTTATCAGTTTATGTAGCTGTAAAAAGAACCGCCAGACCCGTTAACTTCATAAATACGGACTAAAAACATACAGACTCTAAATTCAAAACCCGTTGAGTTCTAGCCTCCTTCGCAGGTTTTGGTGCGGCGGCGTTATTTTTTTCGGGGAGCGACGCGAGTTATGCCGCGGGGACGGTCTTGTCGCCGAGGGGCTTTGCAGGGGAGAGAATGTTTCCCCGAAAAAATTGACGCACCCGCCCTGAAGTCTATGAAGGTGGCTATTGGGTTTTACTTTTTTCTTGAAACACCGGAGGTCTTTTTCATGGCACTTGCAAGATAATGAGATCCCCAGAAAACAAAAGAGTAGCCGTGAAGTCTGTCACAAGGAATTTGCTAGGCGGATATCAACTTCAGTGAAGGTAGCTGAAGACGTTGCAGTTTGACACCTTCCCGATGCAGACCTGTTTATTCCAGTAGGGCCCTCATATTATGGGACTTGTACTTCATATTGTACGAGAGCTGAGTATGCATGTCACCTACCATTGAATGGTTTAAAATGTGAATGGCGTCCGGGTGAGCGTCATGATTGGTGTCGTGTATTTGGACTTACGCTTGTTACCTTCGGAAAGAAAGAAAGAGACAAATTATATGTAAAGCAGGTGTGCAAAGGGTCTACTTGTTCGACTAACATGACCGTAGATTTTAATAGCCTCTGTAGCAGGCTCATAGAACTGGGGGTTTGGTGGTCTTCGGCTGTTTTCTGATTAGCCCAGTTCTAAAAACGGGGGTAATTCAACCAGGCCGGCTATGTTGTCTATATGCAATCAGAAAATAGCACATAAAAGCTCCGAAAGACCCCGAAGACCCCCCAAACCCCCAGTTGTTGGCATGCTATGGAGGCTAAGATTTTAAGTTTGCCTACAAGGAAGGTTGCTAAGGAAATTCGATATCAAGGAAGGTTGCTATGGACGTCTTGTTAAGCTACGTAGTAGACAGGTGTTCCGAGCATGTAACACCTGCGTCGCTCAGTGGCTATTTAGAGCGCAGTCGTGGAACGGCAGCCAAGATTTAGACACAGATGACTGAGCAGTGTATCCCACGACAGAAAGTAAACATATCTGGACTTGACCAGAATCCGCAATGAGAGTGACTTCATTCTTATCTCCTATACAAGTTAGGTTACAACACTCAATAGGATATACGATAGGGCCGATTTACCGTAAAAATGAACTGTACATGTCCTACGGCAATTGGCCTTTTTCCTGTGTAAACAGGTCTGAGGGTAAAATATTATCACTTCTTCTAGCTTTCAATTCACATAAAAGATGTCCACCTATCTCACACGTACAGAGGAAGTGGTCTGGATGTGGCGTTTCCATGACACCAGTGAAACTGGCTGTGGTTGTTGCTGTGTTGGTGGTTGTTGTGTCGGTTATCCTCCAGCCGAGTGATGCACAGCAGGAAGACGAGGTATGTCGAGCGTTGGGAGCGTACAAACTGACAAGGAGTCAAATAGACCGTATGTTTGTTCTGGCTACTTGGAAACTTTAATACATGATCACTCTCGGGTGCTAAATGTCTTGTTAATCTTATTTTTTTACAGAACTCTCTTCTGGAATTGATGGAAAGCAACAAGGAAGGAGCAGTGCCAACTGACGAGATAAATGGAGAAGATCGTGAATTTGATGGTAATAATTTTTTTTCGAAATTTGAATGAATAACCATACTAAAGAAATAGGGTCCGGGAAATATATCTAGGTCAGAGTGCACTTAGAATGATTCTTATACCAGTGCCGACACATCAAACAATGGTAAAATACGAGTACCAGTATAGGTAGTGATACCGTTTTCACGCATGCATGCTTATAAGATTATGTGCATGACTTCTGAAAACATTTATATGTCTTCGTGTGTAGAAATAGTGTTATATGCAAAATTGTTATATATTGCAATTGAGTAAAGTAGATCGATTGTTTGCACAGTTGATAGTGCAACGTTTATAACATAATCCGTTAATAAATGAAGATCTTTATTTATTAAATCACAACAAAACAAGATGAACGGATACAGTTAACAAATAAAAAAACTAGAAATCGTTATATCGTTGATGTCAATAAAGGTACACAACAGATGCCACGATTTGTCGATGAAACGTTCCTTATTATGTACGTTTTTAATTCAACAGGGCCACTTGTACATGTGGACCACAAGGAACCAGAGCGCGTACTCAAACGAGTCAAACGTTGGTGGGGTATCCGTTGTAGAACGGTGTGTAAGCGAAACTGTAGAAGCTACTGTTGTAAATGGGGCGTCAGATGCGGTGTTCACTAGGGTATATCATTACCCCTCCCGTAGACCCACGGGCTTCCAAAGTTATATAGTGTGTAGCTGGGTAAGGTGATGGGGACAGAGATAGTACTAGTAACCGATGATAGAGGATAAGAGAATGTTCGTTCATGTTTCTATTGTATTATGTTTGGTATGTTGGTAAATGCATTACGTAACATATCTGTATATGGATACTCAGCAGCTTCAGCCTAAGTATAGTAGGGAGGCCTGCATTTCTAACTTCCAAAATAAGCATTTTGTCTTCTAGGATATTGAAGCTGCTTTTTAGGAGAAAAAAAAAGTTTCTAAAAAAAATACAACAAGAACGCATTTGAATGAAATCCGATTTTAAATGAAGATGTGGCTTTATGTACCTAAGAACCATTGTATACCTGAAGGTACACGTTGATGTATAATATTACAGACGCTGATAGTAATAAAATACACGGTGATCTTATGGAAGATGGTTGTGATAGAACAGTTGGTCTTTATGTCTGATAACCTCTTGTGACTAATACATTATTAAACGACGTTTAAATAGTTATCAGAAATTGCAAGATGCTCGCGTGCGTTATGCATATGGCATTTCATTCTACTCGGCGGTTGCCATTCTTCACACTTTTTAATGAAAATTTATTGCAAGTTCCTGCCCGTAGGCTATTGTAATTTATTACATGTACATGAAATAAAGGACCTATGTTATGAGGGGACCTACAGTTGACAGTTCTGTCCCCTACAGCCAAGCATGTTCGGTTTGACGTTATCGTAATTACTTGAGGTGGACGCCGCCGTCCACGGGCAATGACGCGCCGGTGATGAACGCCGCCTTCTCCGAGCACAGGAACGCCGCCACACCGCCGACTTCACGGGGAGAAGCGGCTTAGCCCACCGTCTCATACCGCAGAAACCGATGGAAGCGTCGACTTGCGCCGCCCCCAACTCCTCCACGACTGGGTCCCAGGCCTCGGTCTTGGTGAAGCCCGGGATGACGACGTTACAGGTGATCCGCCTGGGCGCCAGCTGCTTGGCGTAGTGCCTGACCAGGTACTCCACACTTGCCTTAGCCGTACCCGGGGTGATGTAGGCGAGGTTCGGCCCGCGGGAGTTGTTACACCCGGGGGAAGACACGGCGACGATGTACCCTCGCCCGTCCTCCATACAGGTGACCGCCCTCTCCACCAGCCTGATGAAACATTTCGGGTACATGCCCTGGAAGAACTCGTACGCCTCCCAGCCTTGGAACCAGCTGCCACTGGCGTCTGGTTTGGTGTGGGAACGGTTTTGCCAGTAGGCACCAGCGTTGTGAACCAGCGCCGTCAGTTTACCACTAAAGTTCTCCTCGACACAGGAGAAGTAAGCGTCCACGGTGGCTTCGTCTCCCGCCTCACCTGACACCAAGAACACGCGTACATTGTACGTCCCCTCCAGGTGTGCTTTGGCGGCTTCGGCACGGTCTTGGTTTTGCCTGTACCCCAGAATAAGATCGTAACCGGCGGTGGCGAGCTCCTCGGCTATACCGTAGCCGATTCCTCGGGTCCCGCCAGTGACGAGAGCGGTCTTGCACTGCGACATGTTAAAAATCTAGAAGTAGCGCTAGCTAGCGGTAGTTTTAGGAGGATTTTTGAACGACCTTTTGGAATTTGTTCTGTCCCTCCTGGTAAAAAAAAATAGGCCAGGCAAATCAAAGAGTAATGATTAAAAAGCAACACACGATTCTACGTATACGTATCGATAGTCTATTATTTAGGTCGACATTTAGGTAACTACAAGTATAAATTATGTAGATTTCGACAACGCAAATTCAGATGTTTGGATATCCACATGCATTTTGGTGAGTAGCTCCACGTAGGTGACTTTATGAGCTCGACATACACGTATATAATTTTCAAATCAACAGAACTGTACGGAGTCTAAATTCAACCCAACAGCAGTTCTTCGTTTATAACGCAGTGTTGTCCCATTACTTCCAACACTTTGTATTTAAAGAGAACAGTAGATGAACTACGTACTCTCCAAGCAGTGGTTTGGGTTTTGGCTTATTTTTGGAATGTTTTTAGATTCCTTTTTGCACTGGTATCTTTTCTTACGCCAACCCAAAGGGGTAAAAATAAAGTACCAGTGCAAAAAGAAAAAGAAATCCAGATAAAAAGCCTAAAACACGCCAAAAATAAGCCAGAACCCAACCTTCTGCTTGGAGATTAAAGATGAATCATGTGATGCATCTCTACAAAATGACGCACTCATTAAGTCCGGAGAAGTGTTTGTAACTGTATGCTCGCAAACGGAGACGAGAGGGTCTTTGTGACTCTGACTGCCGCTAGTCATGTGGAAAGTGACAAATATAAAACGACAAAAGAAACAGGAACCTGTGCAGGTGTTTAACGTCATGGCTTCATGAAAACGCGGAAACATGTCTGTACTTGAATATACCACGGAAGTTCCTGTCAATTAGATCACCTTACCTTTTCACTGCGACGACGGGGAAACTTAGTACAGCTACGCAGTTCATTCTGAGACACTAGCTCAGTGGGTGAGGAAGTGGGTAAGGACAACCTCCGTGAATCGCAAGACTTTATCTACTAGTTCTGTTGTCGAACGAGAGGGACGATGGCCACTGGTGTTCAGAACAAGGTTTGTGTGATATGTAATATTATACAGTATATAGATTCATGTATCTTAGTCGTAGCTAGCGTGTTGTTGATCGGTAGCACTGTTTTTACCTTTACTGTTTAGCAACCCTTCATACCATAAGGAACTATTCGTAAAAGCTATATTTCAGATTAGATTATGACTGCATTGTAGTGAGTTCACACGCGTTTTCGGCAATTGATTTCAATGCTTCGGTAAAGAGTTTTTTTGGAATTTAAGCTTGTTATCCTCAGTGGAAAGAAAGAGAAAGGCTACTTGCTTGACTGACTTTACCCACAAGGAAGGTTGCTAAGGAAATTCGATATCAAGGAAGGTTGCTACGGACGTTTTGTTAAGCTACTTAGTAGAGAGGTGGGCATGTAACACCTGCGTCGCTCAGTGACTATTTGGAACACAGTCGTGGAACGACAGCTAAGATTTAGACACAGATGATTGAGCAGTAGATCCCACGACAGAAAGTAAACGGATCTGGACTGCGACAGCACACAGCTTTTAGTAAACAAACATTTTTCTTCTAGATTGCTGCAAGGCAACTTCTAGGACTTCGCATGCCCATGACAACAGTGATGCTGTTTACTGGACTTCTGCTGATCCTGCTCCAACCGACGGCGTCACAGCCAGAGGTATGTCTTTTAGTGCACGTCTTCTAGTGTACACTAAAGACAGTTTCTTGATTTTAGTGAGACATCTATAGCTTCGTTTTGAGATCATTTTTTCTGGTTATTTCAGCCATCCCTTTTGGCCATGCTGACAGACACGAAAGGCGGTTCAAGCAAGATTGACGACACCGCACGTGAGTATATTTTACATGCTCTGTATCGATGTAATGGTGTTGAGTAACATCCAATAACTGAGTTTCCGATTCTCGGTGTTTTATGGTCCCTAAAACACCAAGAATCGTAAAACTCAGTTCTTCTTTTCTAGATATTTTCAGATCGATGCGTTTGTCACTGCTGTTATCTTCTTATCTGTCTACATTTACAAAATCTCTTGTGGGCAGGAAAATGTATATCTTATAGGAATGCAGGGAGTTTTGTGATAGTGAAATGTAACATTATTAAATGTAAGATTTATGTTATAGATTCAACGTCTACTTTTGTTTCAGAGCAGATGATTGGATAGAACACTTTCTGCTGTGCACATGTTATACATGACTCTTTACAAGGCCATTTCCTGTGGTGTATGTTGAACGTAGTCTTGATTTTGTGTATGTGACTAAGTAAGCCGTCTTACTGCAGGTGAAGCTCTGGTGGATGGAGGACATGTCCGTGTGGCACGTTCCCGGCCACTCGGACTTGCTGGTCGGCCCGTATGCGTAAGCTGCCCCTGCGTGAGGTACTGCTGGTGGTGGAATCGCCACGTCTGTTGCAAGCGCAAATGTATTATTTTGGTGTGCTAAATACAACGAGTGTGTCACTCCCGTGTTGTGTTGTAATACTCTACGTAAGTTGTGCTGTATTGAGTATTAAAATCATTTATTTGTTTCGCATAACTGGTAAACCGCCTTTAGGCGTAACACACCAGTTGTACAATGTGCGTACAAAAGTGTGCACCTTGCTTCGCTTTTACACTACTTAATACACAGCAATACTACTGCTTGTGATTTTTTATTAGCTTGTGAAAAAATGTGCGTGTTTAATGTTGGCAGCCAATTTCTGTAATATCACTTCATCTATTCGGCTTTCTGGTTGTGATCTGTTCTGATATATTCATGTCATAATAAACCATTCTACACACTCCACGAACAATTTCATTTCACGTCACCAATATGAGTAACAGTCTTTATTTATTGCCAATAAGTATACGAAAGTCTACGGACTGAGTCAACCTTAGCAATAGGTCAGTTCAAACATAACTTCTGAAACAGAATGTATTGCGAACTGTTAAAAATATCCGATGGCCCAATGCAGAATGTTCAGTACGGTAAATTAGACACCGACCGTGAGTGAACAAACCAAAAATAATATTTTGCAAAAATTCGAATAGTGTAATTAAGATTATCATAATTTTTACCTCCAGATGAAAGTTGCCGAACTTGAACTGAACAAGCCCTGAAATAATTGAGAGTATTGTATATATATATAATACAAAAATTATAATACACATATATATATATATATATATATATAT